GGTGGAGGCCATCGCTGTTAGGTTGGAGGCCATCGCTATCAGGTTGGAGGCCATCGCTATCAGGTTGGAGGCCATCGCTATCAGGTTGGAGGCCATTGCTACTAATCCCATCCTCCTATTAATAAACACGGCCCCCCCCCCCCATTAAAAAAACCTCGGTCGCATTTTTTCTAATAGGGGGTCCCTGAAATCGCGGGGGCCCAAAATAGGGTCACCTGGAAAGAGTTTCAAAACCAAAAAGTAATCCAGGAAAATTTTATATAAAATCCTTTTTTAAACTCGTATCAAAAGTGCAAAAAACCGCCAGATGGAAGGGTCTTCCTTTTCCCCTACAAAAACCTTCATTAGAATAGTGATTCTTCAGTAGACTAACAGCTAAAGCTTTCGAAAGGTGATGTCGCTGTGCCATGCGGTGTTGCATGACCTCGGTGGCAAGTGCGTTTGCGTGAGTCCGTGCCATTGAGGGAAGGAAAGCCTGCTGGTGTAAGCGCGGCGTGTCATGGTGGAGTTTTGGGGAACCTAATTAAAAAAACTACCCCCAAAATCGACCATGTTGGTAGTTTAGTAGCGGCTTGAAAGGGCGGCAATTTAAAGCCAAATAAAAACCGAATTTAGGGGTTCGGACGTGGTGGTTTTTAATTGGGGAGTGTCTATTAATAGGAACTCGGGATTAGTTAGTGTAGAGGCCATTGCTTGGTGGGAGGCCATCGCTATTAGGGTGGAGGCCGTCCATCGCTCTTAGGGTAGAGGCCATCGCTCAGGGTAGAGGCCATCGCTACTGGGGTGGAGGCCATCGCTGTTAGGCTGGAGGCCATCGCTATCAGGTTGGAGGCCATTGCTACTAATAATATAGTGTAGAGGTCTTTGCTCTTGTGCGTTTTCGCAGAAGTAAGGGGTCACGCAGCCAAAAACAGAGCAGGGCAAGGCATTCTTGACTTAAGACATAGGGGGCTTGTTAAACAGCTGGAAAGGAATGGACTGATTAATTGAGGATACTTGGAGAAGATTCAGATAATGCACAGTCTTCCCATGGGGAGTCTATCTGAAAACACATGCGAGTCAAAACTTCTAGCTGCTGCAAGTCGTTTACTTTTCTCCAGGATGCTGGTTCCTTTGGAACCCACAGCTGTGTGGAATGGTGGTATGAGCGGCAAGAACCTTTTGCTGGTGGCAGGAGGCTGGAAGTTCATCCAGTTGATGGCTGCAGTTTTGGTGTCAAACAGGGACACCAGCTTTCAAGCTGCTAAGGAAAACGCTTTGGAGTGAAGGTGGTGTGGAAAGTTGCCGGTGCAGGCCAGGCAGGTATTTTCAATGTACAACCAGCGAGTGTAAAGGCATTTTGATGCGGATGTAACGTGTTTGTCAGCAATGGGACCTTGTCTCGAGTGGTACAATGCCACCCAGGTGAGTCTCTGCTGTTGGCACCTTCCCTGGGCGAAGCGATCCACACGTGCGTTTTGGCAGCGTTGGGGATGTGAGACTTGAAACATTTTGAAGCCACAAAAAGATCATTTGCTGTACTAGCATGTTTTGGGCTTATACGCTTGAGGCCAGTTCTTGTCATGTTCAATTCATGTTCGTATGGAACTCGGCACGAACATGGCCTGAGGCCTCGGATTGGAGCCAGCGATTCAACAGTTCAATTACTTGTCTCCTGGCCAACACCGCCTTTTTCGTCAAACAAGCAAGACATTACAGATGTAGTGGCAAACGTCAGCGTGTTTCCAGGTTTGCCGCCGGCACAACGCTCCAACTCATGGACTGCGAGGATTCTCGAATTAAGTCCTGGCCGAACATTTTGATGTGGTAGAAGAGTGTAGAGGGCTGAAGATTCGAGACTTGCTGTTTCCTCCAGCTTTCTGTTTTCATTTGTTTTCTTTATCTTTCTTTATCTTCCTTTGAGTCTTCTTACCGCTTCTGAGACAACTAGAACGTCAGACCGATCTATCTTTTTCAAAAGCTTGTAGCACATTGCCATCGCTACTAGGGTGGAGGCCATTGCTATTAGGTTGGAGGCCTTTGCTATCAGGTTGGAGGCCATCGCTATTAGGTTGGAGGCCATTGCTATTAGGTTGGAGGCCATCGCTATCAGGTTGGAGGCCATCCCTATCAGGTTGGAGGCCATTGCTATTAGGTTGGAGGCCATCGCTATCAGGTTGGAGGCCATTGCTATTAGGTTGGAGCCCATTGCTATTAGGTTGGAGCCCATCGCTAGTAGGTTGGAGGCCATCGCTATTAGGTTGGAGGCCATCGCTATTAGGTTGGGGGCCTTTGCTATCAGGTTGGAGGCCATCGCTATTAGGTTGGAGGCCATCGCTATCAGGTTGGAGGCCATCGCTATTAGGTTGGAGCCCATCGCTATCAGGTTGGAGGCCTTCGCTATTAGGTTGGAGGCCTTTGCTATCAGGTTGGAGGCCATCGCTATTAGGTTGGAGGCTATTGCTATTCGGTTGGAGGCCATTCTTTTTAGGTTGGTTCGTTTCACTCTACCCTTGGCTCCCCGGTCTTAGCTTACGACGCGATCCGTAGAGAGGAGACCGCTTCGTGTCGGATTTGCAACCGAGGAGAGCATCAAACCCACCGAGGTCGACCTTCCAAGCGGCTTGGAGTGGAAGGTCGGAAGGTCAGTTCCTTCGAACCGAAGAGCGAACCGCCACGCGTGTCACAACGTCTTTGAACGCACTTTTGAACTCTGTGGCCGCCAAAATGTAACATAATTTCATGAACGTTTTCTTGACCAAGAAGGCTCAAGGCTGAAATAACTGGTTCTTCGCTCTGCTAAGGCAACCCTCCATGCTCCGCGTCTGCAGAGTCTGCATCAAGTGCAGAATTGATTTAGTGAGTTCGCTCTGCACATGCGTTTGTTGCCCTTTTCGTGTATCATCATGAATCATTGTTTGTTTGTGGGCGTGCATTGTGTCTTTTCGCAGCTTGGAGTTGCCTTTGTCTTAGGTGATTCAGCAACAGTGGTTCTTGGAGTGTCTCCCGATCAAGGAGAGTGTAAGCAGTTGCCGACTGGTGAGAGGTTCGAGCCTTACTTCTACATTCTATCCTTTGAGAACCCTTCTTGAAGTTCATTCAGCTTGCATCTCTT